AGAAGGGGCATGAGTTGCTTCGAGACCGGTGATATGCCTTGCTTACGAGTGATAACAGGCTCGCAACCTAGGTCCAAAGCTTCCTGTCTATTGTCCCCAAATGTCTTATAGAAACAATTCTGAGTGTACCGTGATGGTGGTGGTCACATTGCAAACTTGACTGGTAGAATTCAGTCTTCAGCAAACAAAGAACTGTAAACATGATACCACCTAGTGTTCAATCAAAGTATTATTATTAGCCGTTCCTTACATTCTGAGTGAAGCATAAAGCTTCATCAAAATCGAATAACGCATTCCTAATTTATTCATGCATTTGGTTTGATATATTATGCAACTTAATTCGCCTGGCCGATCTGTCGTGTTTTCCTGTGGAAACTTTAAAAGTAAAGTCGTCTATAATTATGTGGCTGCACACTCGTCTGGTTTGTGATTTTCATTCTCTTAGCAAACATGGGAGGCTGGTTTGCGTATACATCTTTTTGTAAAGCAAATATGCATTGTTCGCGTGCTTTGAAACAGCAGGCATTAGACTCCTTTTCACTGTGGATTACTTTTTCCAGGTAATAAGTAAACTATCATGACTCATTTTTTCCTACACTATGCAGAAGCGTAAAGAAGCGAACTGAAGAAAATTGATTGAACGTTAGCCTGTAGAGAGAATAAGGTAAATCGGAATCATATTTTGCATTAGTTACGGAAATACAAATATACCAACACCCCTCCTTTGCCATATTTCCTTTGTGTGCTACATGGAGTGTGGCGACTTGAACTGCCGCACATATGTGCAAAGTTTTATGTCGAAAACCGATCGACCATATTTCTTAAGTGTAGATTCCGAAATTGTCTTGATAACTCTTGATCATGATACAGGCAGGTGGTCTCACGTGTGCGTACTGATTGGGTTTCCAATGTTTGGACAAAATTGCTGTCTGGTTACCCCTGGTTTTGAGTGGTTCTCTAATTGACTTACTTTCAGGGCAAAATTTGACGTGGAAGGAGTATGTAGTCATGATCTGGCACTGGTAAACTTTCCAACCTAACTCAAAGTTATTTAAGATTTTGTGGTGTGGCAGCCATTAGTGTCTGTCAAGGGTTTTCGCTGTCACCGATTAGATTCATCCTTGATGCATGTGTATTAATACATGTGGTCCGCCAAAGCTCTTTAATTTACACAGATTGGTTTCCTGCTTTTAAAGGATCTAGTAGAACTACTTTTATATGTGAAGACATTCTCAAAATGCGTCTGATTCCGTGTATGTCTGATATACTCTATGCTATTCAGATGTGACGTTCTTATATACAGTCGGTTTACAGTGGGTGACTGAGTTTTCACAGGAGAACTGTGTGCATAGGTTCAACAGTTCAAGTTGCCACAACCCATACAGCACCATAATAAATGGAAATGTACGGAAGACTTAATATGCCTGCGGAAAATAATGAGGATTTAGTGGATCTAGGAGACTACAGTAAATGCATCTGTGCCACTGAGAACAATTTTAAGTTTCCAATCATTATTTCTTTGCATCTCGATGACTCTCACCATGCAGTCAGCACCTACATACGTGGCTCAAACCAACAATCACCGAATTTATGGTTTGATGACAGGTTTTAATCTGATCACACACCTAATGGTTTCCCAACCTTATGCTGGCTTACATTGTTAGTCGTGGAATTTGATGACTTTGCATGCGGAGCACGTGTCCAAGCCATCTAAATTGGTGTAACTTCACAACCTCATCGATTGACTTACCCTGCTTCCTTAGAACTTTATTCTTAACCTCAATATTATAATATTGTCATCGTCATATTTCTTGACCTAAAGGCGCCATTCGATTCTGTCGACCGAGAGGTTCCATGGCGATGCTTGGCTGTGAAGGGAATGCCGAGAAAATACATTGCACTGATCAAGGCACTCTACTCGAACTCATGCAGTCAGGTGAGGGCCTACGGTGAGTTGTCGTCTAAAGTGACAACTAGTGGTGTCCGTCAGGGGTGCCCACTATCCCCATTTTTATTCAATTTCACCATAGATGTACTGATGGACTTGACCTTAAGTAACTTCAGAGATTCAGGGACTGACTTGTTACCAGGGAATAATCTCGTTGACTTAGAATGCGCAGATAATGCAGTTCTTCTAGGTGAAGACGCTGACAAAATGCACAGTCATCTGAACATCTTGAGCTGCAGTCTGCGATTGTTTGGCACGCGATTCGCTCCCGCCAAATGTAAGATGATGCTACAGAACTGGACTGGACTACATTGACTCCTAACTTAGAAATAGGGAGTGAAGTGGGAGAGCACGTTGACCACTTAACTTATTTGGGAAGTTGCATCAGCCAGTGCCAACAGGTTGATCTTTGACGAAATCTCAGCACGGTTACAGAGGGCTAGTTTCGCATATGCCAGTTTATGCCGTCTCTGGCGTAGATGTGATATCGGACTGGTTATGGACCAAAGGACGTGTGTACTGCTCAGCAGTCCTCTCCGTCCTCCTTTATGGATGTAAGACCTGGCCATTGAGAGTGGAAGACATGAGAAGGCCGGCTATCTGCCTTTGATCATAGGTGCCTGCGTTCTATCTCCCGTGTGAAGTGGTATAATAGGATGACCAGTATTGAGGTTAGGTACGGGTCGAGTGCTAGGTAAGGAGGGGAAATCAATCGATGAGACTGTGAAGCTACATCGACTGAGATGGTTAGGACATGTGTTACGTATGCCTAGTCATTGCCTTCCTCGACAACAGGCAATGTTAGCTGATATAGGGTCAGGCTGGAAAAGAGCTAGGGGTGGTCAAACCAAAACATGGCTTCATCAGTCAATGAAATCCACAACAGTTAGTTTAAGCCAACCACGTAGCAAGGTGTAGACTTCTTGGCTGGTTTGGGTACTCGGGACGGTAAACACCAATGGCTGGAGACAATCGGTGATATGGCTCAATATCGCTCTCAATGATACCGCAGATGCATCCACTCCTTGTGACTTATAATTTCCAATGGAACTATATTGTTCTTCGTTATTAATACTTCTTTTGGCTTATATCTCTTTACTGTTTCTATTTTTCAGTTTTTTCTATTTTCTTCTCTTGCTTTGTGTACTACATGGAGTGTGGCTACTTGAACTGCTGCACATCGATGCAGTTCTATGTTGAAAACAGACAGACAGTCACTATATTATACCACCTAGCACAGGAGATGAAGAACAAATATATTTGGTCAGAGACGGCTAGCCTCTTTAGGTCTTCCACGTTCAATAAGCTTGTCTCACAGACATAAAGGAGGACGAAGCAAACTGCTGCACAGTATAAAATCCTTTGATCGGTAGCCAGATATCATGTCTATGCTAGAGTGATGTTAGTTGGCAAGTGCCGCTCGAGCCTTTTATATGCTTACTGAGATTTCAGCAATTAGTTCAGCAGGGCAATGCAACTTCCCAAATAGATGAAGCGGTCAACATGCTCAACCACTTCACTTCTTATCTTTAAATTGTGAGTCATAATAGACTAGTCCTGCAGAGATAGAGATAGTAAATAAATAATAATTTGCTTTATTCCAAAAAAACAGTACTATTGTTATGGTGTGGAATTTTCAGCGTTTGGTACAATATTACATCTAATTTTATCGAATAATGCTAAAAACAATTGCCGGATACTAGTGACTGTTATCACTTCAAATGATGACAGCTGTCCATAAGTTCTTACATGACTGCGGGAGTTTCAGTAGTGTGTTAATTAGTGCGATATACTTCCTTTGCACTTCCTTCACCAGTATACATTGCTACAGCACCTCTCGGTCGACGGAGTCAAACATCGCTTCCAGATCAAAGGGTATCTCAAGTATGCCTGTTTCAAGACTTGTCGAAGAATGGAGATACGACCAGTACATCCTCCTCCTCAGGTTGTCTTTTATCTTTCAAATAACTTTGCAGAAAGAGTTTATTAAGATCGAATTACCACTGGCTATACGATTGTCATTCATCCGATTTCTAACGTATCCACTTTTGTGTAACCACTTAGGATAGTGTACATAAAGTCTTAGATGGAACTGGTATTGAAGTTATTTGTCTTCCGGTTTTATTACTCCAATTTCTTTTATTATTATTGCTACTATTGAAAGTCTCTTTTTTCTCTCACTACAGGTTGGATCATGCAGACAGCAAATAGCAGAGAATTTCCTCAATTACATTCCGAATGGATCAGTAATCTTCCTACACTCTTACTCTCGTGTTGTTCTTGCTGCCCTGGCATATGCTGCAACTACTCAAAAACGTCTTCACTGTTATGTGACAACATGTGCACCTAGTGGATTGGGAGCGAAAATGACAAAAGCCTTAGCTAGATTGAAAATTTCATGTACCCTTGTACCGGATACTTCTCTTGCTTATTTAATGCCACAAGTCGACTTTGTTGTTCTCGGAGCTGAAGCTGTTGTCGAGAGTGGTGGGATATTGAATATGCTTGGCTCTTCTCTCATTTCAATGACAGCTGCTTCATTCGGCAGACCAGTTTATGTTCTTGCTGAATCATTTAAATTTATCCGATGTTATCCCCTGGATCAACGGCATATACCAGATGAATTTAAGTGGTCGTGTGATAGTGAATACAAGTCATCATCATCACCACCATCGCCTATGTCTAATTTAAGAGATGAAAGTGTTTTCTGTCCAACTGATAATGATAAAGAAGAGTGTGATTTTCCAGAAATGAAAACAGCATGGGCTGCTGTTGAAGCTCAACGAGTTTCTATCATTGAACAGAAAATGCCCCGCGTTGACTACACAAGTCCATGTTATATCACCTACTTGATCACGGATCTTGGTGTTTTAACACCTTCAGCTGTCAGTGATGAATTAATTAAATTGTACTTGTAATATAATGTAAAGTAAAATATATAATATGATTCATGCATGAAATACTTCTTTCTCAAGTTGAGTAGTTTCCAATTACCAAAAAAAATTTAATTGATATTCTCTTCGTTTTGTTGTAGCTTTACATCAGTTTCACAATGAATACATACGCATGTATGTGTATCTTATTCCTCTTGTTGAATATTGAAAAACCAGCCACAGCAATAACAACAACCACAACTACATCTCTGGAGGAGGAATTATCAAATCCCACGTCTCGATTACTAGTCATTTTAATCGATGGATTAAGATGGGATGTAGTAGCCAATCATTTAGAAAAAGATACTAGTGAATTCGGATTTAAAAAACTGCAAAGAAACGGTGCATACTTGGAACGCTTCGCGCCTGTATTCCCTGCAGAATGTTATCCAAATATTTACTCGTTGTTTACAGGTAAACTGACTTATAATTTTATTATGGTTAATTCTAAAAAAAAAAGCTTTGCATAATATAATATTGTGTAAATAAATGAAAGGTGGTTGGATAAAACTGGTTATCAAATGACTGACTGGGTTTTCTTCTTGGAATGCCTGAGACAGAATTGAGCATTAGTGTTGCATGACTGCAGAGCCCAGGGTACAACTGGGGAAGGCCGATCTTATACTACCTGTTTGAGGTGCTGTTTTAGATATAAGTATAAAACTTGGGCACTGTGCTGGTAGAGTATAACTCCATTATGGATGGGATTTTATTTTGATAAAGTGTCACACAGTGTGGTTATACAGTAATATTAACTGATGACCACGTTTCGAGCACAAACTATTGACACTCATAATCATATCAAGTTACTACTCACACAACTTTTTCCCTTCATTTATATACATGTGTGGGATCGATTAGATATTGGAATAAAAATCTACATAGGATAAAGTACATTCAGAAATAATAATACGAGTGTTATTTATCAAATACAATCAGATGGGAAATCAGACGAGTGCTTTTATAGTCAAAATAAGTAAGATGTTAGAATGTTGTGACTAGTGGTAATAATATGAGTGTTATTATTCATTGTGATATTAGTTCCCCTTACAGTCGGTCAAATCAGAAGAGGATAACAAATAATCTCAAAATTCTATTTCAATTCAAGCACATCACAACATTCTAACAAGTCACTTATTTTGACTATAAAGACACTCGTCTTATTTCCCATGTGATTGTAATTGATCAATAGCACTCGTATTATTGTTTCTGAATGTACATTATCTCATGTTGATTTTTATTCCAACATCTAATCGATGAATGAAGGAAAGTAAGTTGTGTGAGTGAGTGACTTGATATGATTATGAGTGTCAATAGTTTGTGCTCGAAACGTGGTCATCAGTTAATATTACTGTATAACATCACTGTGTGATTTATCAAAATAAAATCTTATCCATAATGGAGTGCTGTTTTAGAGTTATTCCCATTTGAAAATCTTACCACTGTAAGGCAGTTTGGGATGTGTAAAACTTTTGGCGTTGACCTTTTTTAAACCAATTCTTCTCAGAGAAGCATCTTACTGCTGTTATATCCCTATACGCCAGCAGTATGACTTTGCTCCTAGACCTCCAGTATAGTGTAAACAGTTTACTTTTAGTCTAAACTCTACCCAAGCGAATGTTTATTCCAGTCAGTGTAGCTCGTCGGTTTATTGCTATATGCCAATCCGAGCAGCTAATGATTTATCCGTAATTATTACATGTGTTATTGATCACCTCGTAGGATACTGTGGTACACAGTGTCCCATATTAAGCTGTGAATTTAGCAGATAAATAAATCTGATTTTAGCCTTTGCTTTGGTCAAGACTGACTAACAAAATGTTTTTAGGGTCAAGATTCCAGCTTGCTTGGGTGGAAAACAGATAGTTACTGGTAAAATAAAAGAGAGAATGAAGGAATTATGTAGCTCAAACTGAGGATGAGAGTAACTTGGAGTTCTCGTACAGACTCATAAAGAAAGCTAGGACTTTGTATATTCTTTAACTTTACTGGTTTATCATGTGTACAGTCTCACATTTGCCTTCTTTACCATAACATTTGGTAAGTGATTGCATTTACATGCTACCAAATAAATCTCACGCGATTGTTGGTAACACTAACCGTCTGATAAAACCGTGGTAAGTGAAATTCTTCATTGACTGAAGTGGCTAAGACTTGAGCTTTGCCTGCGATGCCACACCGCCTCTCTGTACAGGCGAACTTGGTTTAAGTAGGACGAAATCAGATTCTCAGTCTGCACATTACCACATCTCGCGAGTGGTTATCCAAATTCCGGGTGGTTTAAACTGGTGTGATTCTCTAAGCCACTGATGACGTCGGCCCCAAACGAGCTAAACCGATGTCCTGTGGTTAGATCACTTTGATGTGGCTAACAAGCACGATGTGAATGGTACCCAACTACTCATATCAATCGATCAATAGTTTATAGCGTCATACATTTTTAGTAAGATGAAGTTAGAAACAAATTGGTGATCAAATGAGAACATGGCATCAACCTATGAGACGGCTTGAAATCGTTTACAGCAATGAAGGTGTATTGATTCCCTGTTATCTTCCAGATTCCGAAAATCCTCACAAATCTTATTCTGCCTCCCATTTAGTCAATTTTTTTATGTCTGCTTTATCGAAATGTCGGAAAAGTCTGTAGACGTGAAACTAGCTAAAGAGAGTTGTGATGAATAGAGTGGAATAGAGTGGAGGTGTGCTACTGAAGCCCCATATGTTGCACTCGGAAAGCAAGGGATCATATACATAAAGGTGGTAATATGAATGTTATCGCATTTCAGATCAACTAATCTTGTTTGTTTTTTGTTTTTGCTGCTTGCAGGTCGTCATCCAGTTGATCACGGAGTCATTCTACCTACAACATTTGGCCAGCATACGACTATTGATGGTAAACCTATTCGTTTACAAGCAGAAGGTCTTTGGGAGACAGGAGCGAAACAAGTAAGACTCTTATTAAGTATACTTAAGTATAAGAGATAATATGGTGTTCTTAATAATATATGTTATTTGATTGCTTTTAGTTTTAACCTACTAAAAATATAAAGTTGGTCATTCATTTCTGCATTGTCGAAAAACGTTCAACTTTTCAGCAATGCACACCCACGACCCCCCCACCAGGGATTGAACCTCATGATCTCCAGGTTACGAGGTCAAGCTGGTTAACCGTTCACAGCCCCACTTGATCAAAAGCTCAATGACTCGTGAAGTCTAACTTCTGTCAATTCGTGACATACCGCTATCGCCAGCGAGTGTCTTCAACGAGCACCCACTTTACTTTCGCTTTCTGGATCCCATTGTCCATAACTTCTTAATTAACCGTCATTGGGCTGGAGACTGATACTTAAATTGAGTTTTTGTTGAAAAGCATTTAGTGATAGCCTTTTTTGTATAAAACGCAAAGAGTAAAAGGTTAGAGAACAGTTTAATTCTTGCAGTTCTTTATGGACTCATGATAAAACAAGCAATCAATAACAATTACAGGTATATTGTAGAGTCAACTGGTTTGCATCAGTTCGGGCCAGTTCCACTTTTCAAATAAATGAACACACCACTGAATCAATCAACACAAATAAACTACTTTTGTGTGCTTATGGTAGACTATCGCAACTTGAACTGCTGCACTTCGGTGCAAAGCTCTGTGTTGAAGCTCAGTCAGCCAGTTAGTTGACGTCGAGACATGGAACATCCTACATTAACAGTTACAGTAATAGCTTGTTTAATTTTCTTTAGATGTAAAGATAAAGGACATAAAGTGACAGTAATTCAGTTGACAGAAGCAATCAACAGAAAGTCATACTTGACCTAAGGTATCATGGCTGCTTCGTTGCGTTTGTTAGAAGTATCCCCAACCTCAGGAAAATTGGTGTACCCCCTGAGATTAGAATCATCTGCGCAACCCAATTCGACACTCTGATTATAGTTCAGACTTCTAATGATAAAATGAAAGTTCTACTCTGATGCTGATTGATATTTGGGCTTTTATGCGGTGTTTTTACTGACTGCTTTTAGCTGTTGCGTACACCGATTAGGCCTATTTTCATAACCAGATCGTAAACCTGATGCGACACAACTGAGGTCAACACGTATATATGTCATACTGCTGTTTCCTTTTCAATAACTACACGACACATGGAGAAAAGCAACTTAAAGAACGACTTAATATGGCGTAACTCTTACTAACATCTAGGAGAATTTTAGTCACTTAAGTAAGATTGATCATAAAATGACTCATGTTACAGAACCTCAGAAAACCAGGAGGAGTACTGAACCGGCGGGGTCAACCAAGTTGGGTATGAGGACGAATATCCACCGATGACATTGGTTAGTAGTGGTTGCGCAATCTGTCGTCAATTGACAGAAGCTAGAATTGATGGGCCATCGGACTTCGCCGCAGTGGCTGAATGGTCGAAGAACTCACTTTGTAACCTGATGATGCTGGGTTTAACTCCCGGTGAGGTCATAGGTGCGTGCTGAGAAGAGTCCCAAACAAGGATGAAACAGCTGTCCTGCACTCCTTGATTCTCACAACAGTTTTGTAATTGAAATCCGTTGGTGATCGGTCTTGAAATCAATCAAATCCCTGCAAACCAACACTGGAAAATTTAGTTACTTTTTCAGTGATGATTTTTACCCCTTAACTCAATGTTCAGGTAGTTATAGGTAAGGTGGTTGACTAGCGTTTTCTACTACAGATTGTGTTTTTAATCAGCAGACAAGTCTAAAAGCCTCATTTATATTGGTTAGTTAGTTATTTTGGCAAACCTTTCGAAGTCTAAGCGTTTGCCGCTGCTTCACTTATCCATCTACCTTGTATTTGTAGCGTTCAGTTTAAAGTACATAGCATTTCTCCAGGGTTTTGTGCGAGTTCTCTGTTCCTTGATTTTTATTGGATTGAAATGTTTGCTCTCTGTTAACACATTTCGACTCCTAGGAGGGGGGGGTGCTCCGACAATATCTGAATGTTAACCCATGATATTACTTGGTTTATGTTCGGTGGTCTGGGTCTGATTCTTGGTCGACGCACTCCTAAACCCCCCCCCCCCCAGAGTTAGCCAGTAGTCAGCCTGGTGTGAAGGGTTTGGGTTCGGTGTAAGACTAGCAACCGCATCCACTAAAACAAAAGAACACCACTGAAACTGCAACTTGAAAGCTTAAAGTCTTTTGTTCCACTCAGAACATGAGGGAATGAGAAAAAAACGCACATTTGGTTGTTGGTGGGAATGCCATCACTCACTGGGGATGTAGATGAACTGCCAAGTGAACTGATAAGTTTTAAGTCGGACGAAATAGCCAGCGCTGGATTCTACTGCTACTCACATTCAGCTGATTACATAGATTTTCATCACAAGTTCCTGATCATCGCCTCCCCCGACGGGCATTACTAGCTGATATAGGTGCAGGTTGGAATAGAGTAAGTGGTGGCCAAACAAAAACATGGCATCAATCCATGAAATCCCTGACAGTTAAACTGAGTCAGGTAAGGAGATGCAGACTTCCGGGTTGGGGCCCTCGGGACTCTAAGAATCAATGGCTGGAGACAATAGGTGACATGGCTCAAAATCGTTGTCAATGGCTTACGCAGATGTATTCAGTCTCTGTAATCTTTCATATTCCTTTCTATCATTACTCATTCTGTTTCACTCTTGTACTTGTCAAAACTCTATTGATTCTCTTCACTCATATTCTTGTCTACCTTTGTGTGCTCTTTGGAACGTGGCAACTGGAACTGCTGCACTTCGGTGCCAAGTTCTATGTTGAATCATCACAAGTTGCATTGTTGCGTTGTATTTTCTTTTAGTTTTTTTATAATCTAAAAGCGGGTGGGGGGGATTGAATTGCTTTAACTGTTTTTTAATTTTTGTTTTCTCATTTTGCCTTTTCTCTACAGAATAAAGGTGTTCATCTCTATCACTTACCAACATGTTCAGCTGAGTCAGATTCCCAGGGGGATAACAGTTGGTTCTGTGAACCCTATCATCCAAATCATATGAATCCTATCAGTTTGAATTTTACAATACAAAGAGCTATAGACGGTCTACGTAATGGAAGTGCAAATTTAGCAGGTAACATATGACTTACTTTAAAAAAAGAATTGAACTCACGTATTGTCATCATTATATAATGAGATAATTAATTTGATATAGTCTATAGTGATTGACGATAGTCTATGACGATTGGAGATTTTGGCTCACTGGCTAAAGTGCTCTGGAATTCATCCAATAGGTCCCGAGTTCAAATTCTGCTCCATATACTTTGGTCTGGTCGGGCATCATCAACCTTTACATAATAAGTGTCACTGATTGGGCTGTTACATCACGGGCATGGTCCTGTTAGCTGAATCCAAACAAATATCATTTGGTTGTAAGCATTGTACATTGTACTTAAAACATCGTCTTATTGGAGTACTTGGAACGGAAGGAGAATTACTGTTGAGTGATCCCAAAACGCAGGAAATAACTTCTTTAGGCTGCTTATTTGTCTTGTGTGAAGTGACTTGCTCGGTTCTGTCCACATTAAGATCTTACCGCTTACTGCGAATCATGGCTAGGTGATTCAGGATGTATAATTGTCGGCGTCGACGTCTTCTAACCCTCTCTGTTCGAAACTGGGAGGCAGCATAGCTGGCTTGTTGGTCGACTGAAGGAAACACCTGACTACTGTTACATTCCTATGTGTCACTAGTACGAATTCGCTCGCAGATCCTCAGCATAGTTTAAACAACTTACACTATGACGATAATTGCTTTGAGTTTAACCGTTATCTAATGATTCCCATTCTGGCATGTTAAGACCTACAGGAACACATGTTTCAGTTGTTGTAGTTCGTTGGGTCATTTAAAGTATCTTTCTTTTATATGTTTAGTTTTTGGTATTCTTATGTTTCCCGAGCTAGTTGGTTTATTGTAAAATTTTCGTCTCTCCAGACGGCATCTTCAGCTGCAACTTCACAATATAAACTGAACATTACGAATTCCCCATGAATGAAATAATCATTTTCTCCGATGACCTTGATTGTGGCTGATTGCCTGCAAAGATTCTCTTGTCACTTGTTTTGGTATTAATCGGCTCGTCGACTTGTCTGACAACTGGCTTCTTGGTTGTATAACTTATTATTATTTGATTGATGAATTTGTACTAAATCCCTAATCTGTTGGTCGCAAATTGATCTGAGTGCACCAGGCTTGTAGAGATTCTTTGAAATCCTTCGTGTTTCTTTTCTTTAGCATTTTTACATTTCCCCAGTTGAATTGATGTCCATACTTGTCTGCGTGAGTTCATATGAGAGGATCTGTGTCATGTCTTTTGACTGATAGTTTATTTTCTTGAGTACATAAATGATAGGGGCATCCGTTTGAGTCGATATATAGTGTTTTTCGCAGTTGACGGAATCTATCTTATGGGTACTTTTGACTTTGTCTCCCTCTACTGTCAGATGTTTTTGCATAGATGATATGAAGGAAAAAGATTGTGTTGGTTGGTACGTTAAATCTATTCCAAAAAGTTTCACTGATCTATTATTGATTTCAGGGATATTCTTCTTATATGTGGTAGGACATTTACCATATAATCTCAGGTAATTATTTTGTGTTGGTTCGTTCAATTGAGGTTAGGCCTCTTCCGACGAAGTTTCGTAGATGTCCATTTTTTTCTATAAGGCAATCACGGGATGTATTTCTCTTCTACTATCCTTAAGAAAAAAGCTTCTCACTATGTCTTAGCTCTTTTGAGTAATGTTTGTATACAGCTTCTTTTCCGTATTGTTGAATGTTTTTACTGTTGTAATCCAGATTTTCGGTTTGATTACTGGTAGAACACTGATTGCTATTCGTCACACAACACACAATTTCACCGATTAGTCGTGTTATAAATGATCCCATTGATATTTCTTTTATCTATTCATATATTCGATGTTTAACCAAAAAGGTTCATATAGCAGTGTTCTTCCTGAGTCAAAGTTATGCTTGGAATTGAATTCTGGAATACCTGTTGGTTGGTTGGTGCGTTTCAGCGTTATAGGATGAGAATATTTGTTAGAACTCTAAATGCTGTTTTAGTTAACTGACCATAGAGAACTAACTATCTTTGGAGTGTCATAACATAAAACTTTCTGAATCACAATAGATAACTAGCATGGGTGTATCGATCGTACGTCACCTCGTCTGTGTCAGCTATGATTTACAATTCAAGACTATCACGTGACTTGCTGGTTTTTTTTAATTAATTTGCGTTCCCAGTGGAACGTAAGACCTGAAGCCTTAAGTTTCGAAGCTTCATTAGTAGTGGTAGGTAGCGTCTTTATGGGGTCAGGATGCTAGCTTCACTCCCAAACTTGCCTCTTTTCCGGGTTTACTGGCGGCTAGTAGAATGGGAATCGAAATTGTGGACCACTTACGTTGTCGGCAAGCCATTCTACCACCAAACTACCGACCTGCTCTAATTACTCGTGTGTAAATGCCCACCACATAGGGTTAACCGCATGTTGTTTTTGTTATTTCGTTCACTCGCTTGGTATGTAAACATGTCCGCAGTGTTTTTAAGGAAGTTTTCAATATGTGCACTTTAGATTTCAAAGCCTATCAAAACGATGGAACCAGTGTAGTTTGACATACACTATTCAGTGACTTTAATGTTGTTAAGATGATTGTCATCTTTATACTAGGCTTTCAAATAGTTTAGTTGATCTATCTATCTATCTATCCACCTGTGATTTTTCAGTTCCTCCACCCTTCAGTGTGCACCTTTTGGTATTTCTTTTTTTTTCAAACTGTGTTTTAAGGTCTGAACTTTTTAAGTCTTAATTTTTATAATTTGTATGTACTCTCTTAGCTGAATTTTTTCCCAATAGTTCGGTTTTCTTCTGATTATATACCTCTTAACAATTTTTATACGGTTTTATCATAAGCTTCTGTATATATACTACTGCTATTATTATGTTATTTATGTTCTAGTCATTCAGCCTTATTTGATGTTTGCTTTGTTTTATTGCCAAGTTGATAATTTAGTTACTTTTTGTGCATGGTAAGTAAATTTCCGTGTGTGTGTGTGTGTGTCTAACAAGCCCTACTACTAGTACTAACTATTGTGTGCACTAATAATAATAATTAATTGTCTAGTGTCTTTTTCTCTTATGTGTACTTCTCTGACTACTGCTATTACAATCTGCTTAGTTTGGCGTGTAATTTTATTTATCACTTGCTCCTGTGTATAATAATCATAAGGAAACATGAATATGGACGACATGCATCCTAGTAAGGTAGGTAGGTTGCCATTGAACAACACTCAGCCAGCAATAGCTATGTTCATTCAGTGGAGTCTAACTCACTAGTTGGCTGTTTAGTCTGCAGAGTAGCTGCACGAACGAATTCCAGGTTTTGGTCTGACTACTACCCCAAACTCTTCTAACCTTAATGCTATGTCGGTTAACATTGCTTGACTAGGAAGGCGGTGGCTGGGCATGCGTAAGCCATATAATTAATTATACGGAGAAATTAGTGTATATAGTATTTCACTTTTTGGTTTCGGCTATATTGATGCCTATTGTAGGTTGATAATATGGTAGGTAAGCAGATCTAAAGGAAGGTTGGTTAAGTTGTCAATCGGTCAGGTATAATTTGTTTTGTGTGCTTATTTTATTGTGGCTCTCAGGTATTCATATATTTTGTGTAGTGCTCCGGCTCATTGGATTAGGTAGTTGACTTTCAACCGGTGTATCATGGGTTCGAAACCCACCCTTACACATCAAAGATTTGGCCGATCGCCAAGTACATCCACATGCCTTTGGTTGTTGAGCAACATTTTGTTTTGTTCCATATGCTATTGTAGTATGTCTAACACTTCTAAGTAGTATATTGGTGTTGTCTCATCAATAGTCTTGATTAGGGAGGCGACGCGGATGATGATGTAAAGGGGAGAAGTGAAGACTCTTGTGAAACAATATATGATGCATGAAATGAAGACAAGAGAAACAGAATTTGAATAACGTTTGCTAATTAAAGTTTCAGCGTAATGTGTTTATAGTTTACCATCACTGGACGCCGTTACATTGTGTGTGCTCCTCCTACCAATGTTTGTCTATTCTAATATAATTACATTTCTATCCTTCTAGTTCCTATTGCTGCATTTTATGGTAGCTTGAACTGATGTAGTTCTGTGTGAAATACTTCGCCAATCCGTCAGTCAGTCAGGCAGTTAGAGCTCTTCACTCTACCTCCATTATTAACTTCCTGTTAGTGTTGACCTTTTACTTTTCCGTTTTTGTGGGCAAGTTTTTCAGCTCGCCGACCATGCACATGGTCCGGGGTTCGATCCCCGGCCGCTGACTCACTCCTTTACCTCGCTAAACCAGAAATAATGCTGGTGAAGAAGAAAGGTTGGGCATGAGGCCAGCAACCCCATCGTATAAAATAAACACTGCTACAGAAACTTCAAGCCACTAGCTTGAAGCCCTATGTTCCACTGGGGAACGTGAAGGATAAAAAAATATAAAGACACTTTCATCGGCATTTCTTCGCTAAGTCTCTCGTTTTTTGCCGTTACACCTTAAATTTATTAAATTCGGTATATTAAACTTGTTCTTTATTATACCTTTGTTGGTATAATATGGAATTAATAGACTAACTGCCGCTGACGAAATGTCAACACGGATACAAAAGCCTTGTTTGGCATTTGCCAACTTACATATCAAATCTTACAGGTGTGATATTATCGGGCTACCGATCAAAGGACGTGTTTACTGTGCATCAGTTGTTGTTCTGTCCTTTATGCTTGTGTGACGGCCATTGAAATTTGGAAACCTGAAGAGACTTACTGTCTTGGAACGCAAACATCTATGATCAATCTCCTGTGTTATGTGGTATAGTTTGGTGATTAATATTGAAGTTAGGCGTAGTGTAAGCTAAGGAGAGAGGAGAAAGAAAGTCGATAACGTTGTGAAGCTGTGTCGATTGAGACGACTGGGACACGTGTTATACATGCTGAGCCACCTCCTTCGTCGTTTAGGTATGCTAGTTGACATAGGATTGGTCTGGAAAAGAGTTAAGGGTGGTTAAATCAAAACCTGATTT